ATCATCATCATCATCATCATCATCATCATCATCATCATCATCATCATCATCATCATCATCATCATGATCATCATCATCATCATCATCATCATCATAATCATCATCATCATCATCATCGTCATCACCATCATCCTTCCATGGCCATGTTGGATCCATATGGGTGCGCTCACAAGGCTCCATGCCTCCGTGCTCGCAAAGATACCGCTAGTCCGCGGCCAGACCGCCATTGATTTTCCCGCCAGAGCTGTGCGCTGGGCGGCTAATATCCATTGTGTGAGCTCCTGTAAGACAAGTCTGGTCAGATGGCGGGCTCCGGAAACAAGGAGCGCAAGCGTTGGACCTGCAAGACGTGCACCCATGGGCGGGGTCAGCCATGCGGCGAGGCTCTCCTGTTACCTGCGTGGCCTCCACAAATCGACGTGCGTCGGCGGCCACGTGGAGCCCGCGGCCCCGTCGAGGCGCGTCAAGCCTGACAAGTGGGGGGCAGCGCAGAACGGCGCGTCCACCATCAATCCTGGGAGCTAGAAGGCCGAGGAGCTTGAGATGCTTCGCGAGAAGGTCGAGCGCCTAGAAGCTGCCCAGGCCCCTCCGCCACTGCGCTCGGGGGCTACAGCGCCATACATCGTGGACATCGAGCTGCTCGGGGGGCCCTCGGACGACTCCGCGCGGCGGCGCCTCCGGGAGCTTGACAAGGATCCCGTCGCCGTGTCCCAGCACCGCGGGCCTGCATGGCTGGCGCGCAAGCTGAGCCTCGCGGAGGAGCGCGAGCGCCTCCGCGCCAAGCTGCTGGAACCCAGGCCGATCCATGCCAGAGCGCGCTCGGTCACGGCTCGCGTCGAAGCAGCGGAAAGGCAGCTTCCCGAGGCCACGAGAGAGCCCCGGGAAGAAGCGAGAAGGATCGGCGGCCCTCCTGAGAAGGATGATCGGGGAGGCCAAGATCGCCATCGAGCAGCAAAAGTAAAGCAGCAAGGACCTTGCGAAGCAAAAGAATCAGCTGGCCCAGCAAGCAGACGGCGCGTAGGCCTCTTAGCCCGCGGCGGCGGGCGGCCTCGACGCGTCGGAGCTCGGCGAAGTCCGCCAGCACCGCGGGCTCGGCGACCAGGCCAGCACGGTCGCCCGGGCCATTGCTCAGGACCTCCCAACATCGTGTCCAATACCACGCTGGTACCCGCGGGCACGGAGGCGGGCCTGGCAGTTGCGGTCGCGCTACAGGTGGCTGCCGAGGCCCCCGCTGCAGGGGCCGCCGCGGGCCCCGTGCTGCCGCGCGAGCGAGCGGAGCCGACGGCAGCCCCAGCGGGTCTGTCAAGCTGGCCGCGGGATCTGGGTCCGATCGAGAGCTCGCCCAACGCCGAGTTGCGCGCGCTCGCGGCTACGGCGGCGCCACCGGCCAGCATCCATCTCGAGGACTCGGAGTTGCGAGGGACGGCCAGGCACGTATTCCGCGCGGCCAGCCTGCCGAGGCCTGCTGCGAGCGGTGATCGGCCCCATTAAAATGAGGATGGTCACCTCTGCAGCCTCGGCGGCGACTGGCCCCCACGCGGGCAGAGGCGAGGCGGCGGCCAGGACCACTGCCACGCGAGTCACGCTCGACTTCCTGGCAATCGGCCGCGTGGCTGGCAGCTCGGGCCAGGTCTCGGCAGCGACTGGACGCCGCCGCGGCTGGCCCTGGCCGGCGGCCCGAGCAGCCTCGGGCGGCCGAGGCCACTGCCGACGGCGGACCCTCCGACGCCGCCCTGGGGCCGCTGGCCTCCGCGGCAGCAGGATTCTGGTCCGAAGGCGGGCCCTTGCCGGCACCTCCTGGCTACCGGGTGATTTCCACCGAGATCAGCGACGACGAGGACGCGCGCGTCGCGCTTGCCGTTGGAGAAGCGCCCGAGGCACGAACGGCACGTGGCAGAAGGCGCCGCGCTGTCCCTGCCAGCCCGCCAAGGCGCCACTGGGCCGCGCGAGCCCGCCAGGGGCGCCGCCGAAGCCGCGGCCGGCGCCGCCGCGGCCGCCCAGCGGGGCTGGGGCGCCCCTGGGAGCGCGGCGGTCGCCACTCGTGTCAATATTGACGCAAGTTGGCCCGGCCCCCCCACCACGGCCGCCGGGCGCCCTGCCGAGCCCGGCGACGGCGGCGGCGGCGCGCCAGGCGGCCTGGCGCCCCTCCGGCGGCCCCGGCGGCGCGCCTGGCGCGGGCCCCGGTGGCCGCGGCGGGCCCTCGCCGGCCGCGCTGCAGCTCGCCGAGCTGGCTCCAGCGGTTCAGCCCGTCTCGGCTGACGCGCTGACCACCGGCACCGTCAACGCTGACACCTGGGCCAGGGAGCAGTCTGTGAGCGGCTGCAGGCCCGAGGGAAGCGGCCCGACATCCCGCCCGCCCAGGAGGCCAGGTTCTTCGACGATGGGGCGGTCGGTGCTGCCCACCAGCGGCGCGCCAGGCAGGGCATGCAGTTGGCCCCGGGGCCTGTCCAGCGCACGGGACCAGGGAGATCGGAGGTCTCTGGCGGCGCGGGCATCGCGGCGCCCTACCTGCACCGGCGTCGGCCAGGCCGCTGGCGTCGACGATCGCGGGGCCCACCGCGTCATCATGCGGCGCGCGCACTTCGGTGGCGGCGCCACGTTGCCCCTGGCATCTCCGCATCGGACACGCCCATTGGCTCCGAGCTCCGAGGGTGGAAACGTCGACCTGCTGAGGTACGTGGGCGGCCTCGCAGGGCAGTTCGGCGAGCCTTTCCTGATCCTACTTCAACAAATCATGATATATGCGCCGTCGCCGTTTCCCCTCAAAGGCTGGGGGGTCCGCCGTCGCCCGGCACGCCCAATGTTAGCGCTGCCGCCTCGCTGTGGCCGCGCCCTCCTCGTTTGCAGCGGAGCCTCGACTGCTGCTGTCAACGCACTGGCCGATTCCACTTATCGACAGTCGGACGCCCCGGCGGCTCAGCCCCTTGAGATGGCCGCGGAGGACAACGCGGCCTCAGGCACCGAAAGCTGGCGCACTTGAAGGCGAGGGGCCAGCGCGAGCTGCCGAATGGAGGGCCACGTTCCCAAAGGCCCCCCACACGGGGGTCCGTGTAGTTAGACGGGGTCGGAGGTTCGCGTGGCATCGCCGATGCATCGGCGATGCATCGCCGATGTATCGGCGATCCGTCGGCGACTGGTTCCTGCCGCGACAATGTGCGCGCCAGATGGGTGGCTTTGGTTGCCCCGTTTCAAGCCCGAGGCGCTCCTGGCGCCTCTCTGCGTTGAGCAAGTCGGGGGCGAGCTGCCGGCGTCGGACATGCCGACCTGCGGGCCGTCGGCGCACGACTTCCCGCCTGTCTCGTCGACGCCTGCGCGCGGGCCTGAAGGGCCGCAAGCCACGTCGGACACACCTGCCGGCGCCCACTGTCGCGTCGGCCTGCGCCTCCAAAATTCACGGGCGGCCCCCCGCGGCGAGGGGCGAGGGCCCGCGCAGAGGATGCGATCCTGAAGCTGCAGGTGCCCATGGAAGCGTTGGAGGCCGAGCTGGCGAAGCTGTCGCAACCGCTGGATAATTTGGCGCCGGCCTGCAGCACCCGGTTTGGCCCAGCAGAGCGGCGCCCGGCGAAGAAGCTGGAGGGGGGGTCGGACAGCGTTCGGCGCTCAAGCCGCCCAGCGAACTCCATTAGGCCAAGCAGCGGAAGCTCGACACCTCCAGCAAGGAGGCTCGGACTGGATTCCTGCACTGCAGGCGTGCCCTGCGGCGCCGGGGCAGGGCGACGGCGGGCCCTCGCGGCCATCGGCAGCCCCTCCACGACCAACTGGCGCGTCGGGCCGAAGCGCTAGTCTCGCAGCCAGCGGCGTCCGACCAGCTGGCATGGGCCATCACCGCCCAGGCCCAGCCCGGGCTGGCCAGCAAGAACGGGCCGCTGGCCAGCTGGTTTGACAGGGCGCTGGAGAGGGAGGCGGCGACGCGGCGTCGAGTTGACGCTGCCCAGGGCGCACTGTACTGGAGGTCCTTATGTGCCGAGTCACTGGATGGGCCAGGCCTTGTGGCCCATCGCCTCGCCAGGCAGCAGAGGAGCGAAGCGGCGGCCGTCGAGGAGGCCGACGACCCTCGGCACATGGCCCAGGTCGGCTCGGCGGCAGCGGGTGCTATTCTGGACGAATGGCCCGAGCTGCGGGCCACCCCTCAAGGGAGTCGGAGGAGGCCAGCCAGCGGCAGCAGGTCACCACTGGCCTGTCAGCCACCACAACCGACCAGGTGCGAGGTGGCCAGGAAGTTCCATCACCACACGGGCCTCGGTCGGGAAAACTTCCATCCGCGGGCCCTACTTACCGCAACGAGGTGCTGCTCAAAGGTTCGTGGACAACCCTCAACTGCTGGGAGAGGCACCCCGTCACGGTAAACCATTGGCTCGCGACGATGGCGTTCAGGCCGAAGCCGCTTCCGCTGCTCGGCCGACGGCCCATTGGCCTCCTCTACATGCGAGGGCGGGTCTAGTCTCGCGCTCGCCATGCCGAGGCACGCCGCTGGGAGCCAGGCGTGGACCAGGCCATCTCCTAGGGCAAGAAGTCTGCGGACACGGCGGCGGACACGGCAGCCGACGCCCACGACCTCCCGCGGTGCACGCCCGGCGCCGCAGTATGGTCAGCGGTTCGGTATTTTTCGACCTGTCTCGGTTCTATAAGAACCTCTCGCACATGGCGAAGAGGCAAGCAGCTGGGCACCACGACTTTGACCTTGGCCTGCCCCGCTCGCTGTGGGCGTTCAACCGCGGGCCGCGCCGAGTCCGTTGTCTTTCACGCACAACTCGGGCCATCCGGCCGAATGGCACGGCGGCGGCGGGGTGTTCCTGCCTTGTGCGCGTTGAAGCACATGGTGCTCGACAAGCCCGTCTGTCGGCACATCAATGTGGTAGACGATATCAAGTGGCACGCTGCAGGGGTCTCGTGCACTGTGGCGGCTCAGCTGATCAAGGCAATGGGTTGGATACTGCCAGCCAAGCAGCAGCTCGAGTTGCCTGTCAACACGTCCAAATCTTGTTTTGTAATTCAGACAACGAGCTGCTCGACCCTCTCCTCGATGCGTCGATGTTGTCTGGCTCTCATCGGGACCTCGAAGGGGGCGCGGTCGACCGTGCCCGCCGTGGGATCCCGATCCAGGCCGCTCGACTCTCTAGGGCCCACGCTGCTGATGGCAGGCTTCGGAGGCTTGGCGGTGGCAGAAATCCCTTTCGGGTGTCCAGGGCGCGCCCCGCGGCCAACGCTGTGTGGGGGGCCCTCATCGTCGGGGTCAGCGACTCGGCGATGAGGGGGCCGAGGGCTGCAGCGGCCCGCAGCTTCGGACCTTTCACAGCCGGGCTCGCCCCTCGGCCTTTCACTGCTGTTCAGCAACGCCTGGACGAACGATTCGTCTGTGCAACTCGCTCTGGCGGCTGTAAAATCCTTCGCCTCGGTCTGGTGGCACCGTTCGGCCACCCGGGCCGCGTTCGCTTCAGCTTTGGAGGATGCTCGGGAAACCCTTGGAAACGAGAGACCCTTGGAAAGTGTCCGCTCTCTTCCTCACCCTCCGCAGGAGATGCTGGGACCTCGACCTTGATTCAGGCTGCCTGGTGGACCAGCATGGGGTCTCCCGGGCGATCGGCCGTTTCGCGCCTGCCTTCTGCGAAGGCCCTTTATAGGCTGGTGTGCTGGCCGATGAGCAAGGTCGTCAGTCGTCTTTCGCTGGCAAATGGTCTGGCCCGACCTGCCCCCGCCGTGCCCGGACCCTCACTGCGGCCAAGGCATCGGAAGGCTTGGCGGCCCATCGCGGCCGAGTGCTCCGTGACCTGATAGCTAAACGGCATTGGCGCCAGCAGCGTTTTGCCGAAAAGTGCGAAGATATCCGCCCTTTTCTGCCCCCACTGAGGGGGGTTCGGGACCCTCTTCCACCGCCCGTTTGTGTTGCCCTGCCCACTCAGCCTGGAAACGTGAGCCCTCGAGCGAGGTCAGGGAGGCGGCCAGGTTTGCTGCTGCGCTATCGGGCCGAGCTCAGGATTTGTTTCCCCAGGCGGTCTTCCCCGACCCCTCGGCTTGGTTCAAGCCCAAAGCGCCCGACCCTTCCCCCTGCTACATGCATCGTCTCAACTGGCCTGCTGGCCTTGTGTTGGGGGATGGAACGCGGGTACATACGGACGGATCGGCCTTCGAGGGCCGCCTTCGGTCCCTGGGAGTGGCGGGATGGGCGATGGTCCTCACGGACGGGGGTGGGGTCGTCCTGTCGTGCATTTGGTGGGGGGGAGGGGCCGTAGCTAAGGCACCCCTCCAAGCAGCTCGGGACGGCGAAGACCTTGCTGTCCCCCAGATTTGTCTCAATGCCACCCGCTTCCCCGAAGACCGCCTCAATATTGATCGTGCGGGCTCCGTGGTTTGTGCTCGGGACCCCTAGGTCCGCTGCGGGCCCCGACAATCCGCAGGCCACTGGTGGGCTCAGGTGCACGACAAGCTTGACGATTGCTCTTTGTGGAAAGTCCCGTCCCATTGCACAGAAGCGGACGTGATGGAAGGCCGCCTGACACGCGCGCAGTGGATCGGCAACACAGCAGCGGAAGACTATGCGCGTCGAGGTGCCGAGCTGTATCGCAGTGACCCGCCGATCGTCTTGACATCATCGGCTGTCATGAGATGGTCCAGCAAGTGGCTAGGTGCACTGCCCGTCAGGAGGCCATGATAGCAAGTGGGTGCATGGCCATCCGAACTATGAACCTCGGCTGATTTGAATTGCCGCCAGACGTCATGGGTGATGATGGCGGAGGCGTGGGTGGGGCGGGAGTCGGAGGAGGGAGCGCTACGGCTAGCGGTGCGGCGCGGGATCATCTCATCAGCACCATCATCACCATCATCATCACCACCATCAGCATCATCATCACCACCATCACCATCACCATCACCATCACCATCACTATCATCATCATCATCATCATCATCATCATCATCATCAGCAGCAGCAGCAGCAGCATCATCGGCATAATCATGATCATCAGCATCAGCATCATCATCAGCAGCAGCAGCAGCAGCATCGTCACCATCATCAACAGCATCCTCATCATGATCATCATCATAATCATCATCATCATCATCATCATCATCATCACCATCAGCATCATCATCCTCATCATCATCATCATCACCATCATCAGCATCTTACTAGTAGGTGCATCACTCCTCCCTCCTATCTCCTCCTTCCTTCCTCCTCTCTAATCCCTCATCCCTCATCCCTCCTCCCTCCTTGTTCCTCCCTCATACCGCCTCCCTCCTCCCTCCTCTCTTCTGCCTCCTCCCTCCTCCCTCCTCCTTCTTCCCTCCTCCCTCCCGCCTCCCTCCTCCCTTGTGCCTCCTCCCTCCTCCCTCATCCTTCCTCCCTTCTCCCTCCGCCCTCCTCCGTCATCCCTCCTCCCTCCGCCCCCCTTCTCCTCCTCCTCCTTCTCTCCCTTCCTCCCTCTCTTCTGCCCCTCCCTCCTCCCTTCCCCCTCTTCCCTCCTGCCTCCCGCCTCCTCCTCCCTTGTGCCTCCTCCCTCCTCTTCTCCCTCCGCCTCCTCCGTAATCCCTCTTCCTCCGCCCCCCTCTCACCCTCCTCCTTTCCCTCCTCCCTCCTCCCTCCTCCCTCCCTCCTCCCTGTGCCCTGCTCCCTCCTCACTCCCTCCCTCTCTCCCATCCCACCTTTCCTTCCTTCCTTCCTTCCGTCCTTCCGTCCTTCCGTCCGTCCTTCCGTCTTTCCTTCCTTCCTTCCGTCCGTCCGTCCGTTCGTCCGGCCTGCCTGCCTGCCTGCCTGTCTGCCTGTCTGCCTGCCTGCCTGTCTGCCTTCCGTCCGTCCGTCCGTCCGTCCGTCATTCTTCTTCCTCCCTCCCTCCCTCCCACCCGCCCCCAACCCACCTCCTCCCTCCTCTCCCTCCTCCTCCTTCCTTCGTCCTCTCCTCCTCCTCTCATCCTCCTCCTCCTCCTCCTCCTCCTCCTCCTCCTCCTCCATCTCTTCTCCTGATAGATAATTCCTCCCTGTCGCAACCCGAGGCCAGTTTTTAGGGCAGGCCGGGTGTTTCGCCTGAGACTTCCTCACCATGACCCTGAAGCTTAAAAAGTGACAACAGTTTCACAGGTGGAGGGCGGCTCGCTTTCAAAATGTGGCTCTCGCCTTAGCGCCGCGCACATTCGTTTTAACAGTTCGCAAGAGCTTCACATATTAAGGGCGGGTCGTTTTCAAAATGAGGATCTCGCCTTAGCGCCGCGCACATTCGTTTAACAAATTGTAAGAGCTTCACGGATTGAGGGCGGATGGTTTTCAAAATGTGGCTCTCGCCAGAGCACCGCGCACATTCGTCTTCAAAATTGCAAGGGTTTCACGGGTTGAGGGCGGTTCCTTTTCAACATGTGGCTGTCGCTTCAGCGCCGCGCACATTCTTATTAACAAATTCCAAGAGCTTCACGGGTTGAGGGCGGGTGGTTTTCACAATGTACCTCTCGCCTTAGCGCCGCGCACACTCGCTTTAAAATTTGCCAGGGCTTCACGGATTGAGGGCGGCTCCTTTTCAAAATGTGCGCCGCGCACAGTCGTTTAAAAATTGCAAGAATTTCACGGGTTCCCTCCCATTATCAAAGCACCAGAAATTGTGTTTGGGAAGGATTCCGGATTACGCGGGCGCAACAGTTCTGTTGATTCGCTGTGTTGAAGTCCCAAAACTGGCGTTCTGGCGCGACTCTGGATCGTCAAGACGCAGCAGTCCGGTTGATACGTGGCGTTGGCATCCCGAGAACCATGTGTTGGCACGCTGAAGAATCTTCAAACTGTTTTCTTCCAACGAGGCGGTTCCCTCAATGGATATGAAACGTTGTAGGGGCCGATGGAGAGGGAGCTTGGAGGGAGGGTTGGTTCCAACATCGTTGATGACTTTTGGGATTCCACTGGTCCTCCTCCTCCGCCTCCTTCTCCTCCTCCTCCTCTTCTTCCTCCTCCTCCTCCTTTTCCTCTTCCTCCTTTCCTTCCTCCTCCTCCTCCTCCTACTCATCATCTCCTCACTCCTAACTCCTACGCCTCCTCCCCCTCGCCCCGCCCTCCCCCTCCTCTCCTCCTTCCGCCTCATCCTCTCCTTCCTCCTCCGCCTCCTCCTCCTCCTCCCTCCTCCTCCTCCACCTCCTTCCTCCTCCTCCTCCTCCTCCGCCGCCTCCTCCTCCCTCTTTTCTTCTTCGTCTTAGTATTGCTATTATTCTTAATATTATTATTCTTCATATTATTATTATTAGTAGTATTATTATTAATATTATTATTATTATTACTATTATTATTAGTATTATTATTATTATCATCATCATCATTGTTGTTATTATTGTTATTATTATTAGTATTATTATTATTAATATTATTATTAGTAGTATTATTATTAGTATTATTATTAGTAGTAGTATTATTATTCTTCTTTTTATTAGTATTAGTATTAGCATTCTTATTATTATTCTTCTGATTATTCATTTCATTATTCTTCTTATTGCTATTATATGTTGTTGTTTCCTTATTCTCCTTATTAATATTATTCCTCTGTTTAGATTCCTCTCTCCTCCCCTCCCTCCTCTCCTCCTCCTCCTAAGGAACTAGGCATCATCAAAAAGATAACTAGACTAAGACGGTAGGCCTCCTCCTCCTCCCCTCCCCGCCTCCTCCTCCTCTCCTTTCCTCTCCTCCTCCTCCATCATCATCACATCAGCAGCAGCAGATCAGCATCAGATCAGCATCATCATCAGCAGCAGCATCAGCATCATCATCACCATCATCATCATCATTCATCATAAGCATCATCATCATCATCATCATCATATCACTCATCAATCATAGGCATCAGCATGATGCCGACGCTAATGATCATCACATCATCATCAGCATTCATCATCATCATAATCACATCATCATCCATCATATCATTCAATCACATCATCATCATCATCATCATCCCCCTCCCCCTCCTCCTCCTCCTCCTCCTCCTCCTGTTCATCCTGATCCTCCTCCTCCTCCTCCTCCACCTCCTCCTCCTCCTCCGCCTCCGCCTCCGCCTGCGCATCCGCCTCCGCCTCCGCTTCCGCCTCCTCCTCCTTCCTCCTCGTCCTCCTCCTCCTTCTCCTCCGCCTCCTCTTCCTCCTCCTCCTCCTTCCCCTCCTGTTCCTTATATTCATCCCCAGTGTCTTGTTCTGGTAAAAATGATCCGTACTATTCTGCTTAGTCTGATCAGTGCCATATTTATCCGTATAAGATTCAGTGTTCATAGTATCGTCATTTTTACTCCTCGCAGTATGATTGTTAATATTAATATTATGTGTAGGCCCCTTCGCATGTGTATGATTAGTCATATGTGTATGCACTTCTATAATATTCCTAGTACCACTGTTAATATGATCGTCACTGTTCTTCTTATTATTGGTATTGGCAATATCATAATTATGTATATAGGTATTCGTCTTCTTGTTCGTATTAAAACTATGCATCGCCTTCTCCCGATTATTATCACTATGGTTCGTAGTGTGTTTCTTCTTCGTATTATTCAGAATGGTAAAATTCTTCGTCTTAGGATGACTCATATTATTGTTAGTCGTCGCTGTATGATCACTCTTCACATCCTTACTATTACTGGTATCATTACGAGTACCAAGTCTATGAAGAATAGCCAATGATTCTTGGTAGTGTTAGTATTAGTATTAATATTGTAATTATTGCTGGTACTTGTATTACTACGATCAGGATGAGTGATCCGGCTCTTGTTGGTGATGCTGTCATTATTATTCCTGCGCGTCTTATCGATACAACTCGTAGTATGTCAACTCTTCCTATTAGTATTAAAGTTCGTCTTAGTACTACTGCCAGTCATGGTACTGTGATTCATATCATCCATGCTATCATTCTTCGCGTTCGTACTATTATTCTTCTTCGCCGTTATAATTAGTGATAGCATTATAATTATGAACCGTAGAATTTGTGTTATTAGTGAGAACCATAGGAATACTCTTCGTCGTAGTATTAATCACATTCGTATCACTAAGATCCCCCTGTTATTATTAACACTACTAGTATTCTGAGCATTCGCAAAAGTATGATTCCTCTTACTATGTGCATGAACATTATTAATATTAGCCGCTGTCTTATTATTATTATCGTTGTTTTGTTTATTATGTGTCTTGGCTTATGCTTCCTCTTAGTATGTCGATTAATCGGCTTAGTCTGAATATATAATGGCCCTTCCTAGAAATATTATTACCCGTCGTACTCTGCTTACTCTTCTGGATATCATTTGTAATCTTACTAGTGTGACCAGCAATCACTCATATTAACATCATCCTCAGCATCCGTCCTAATATTCTTCGCGTCCGTATGTCTCATTATGCTTCGTAGAATTATTAGTGAAAGCATTTCAAGCATGAGCATAGCGTTCATCGTCTTAGTAGTGTTCGTAGTAGTACTCTTCGTCGCATTCTTGATTTTATTCGTAGTACTAGCAAATCCCTTATTATTAATACTGCTAGCATTCTGAGTATTGGCAAGATTCTTCTTAATCATAATATGATTCCTATCCTCCTTCTTACTATTCGCATGTTTCTTCTTAGTGTTATCAGTCTGATGCGAATTACTGGTAGTATTAAGGTCGTTCGTATTTGTGTTCGACTTCGCATTATGATTATGACTCACATTCGAAATATTAGTATCAAATGTCTCGTTATTCGTACGGGCATCATTAGCCAAAGACTTCTTTTTCGTCATATTAAGATTACCATAGGTATTCCTATGACTATTACTATGGCAAATATTAGTACTAGTAATGTGATTATGTTTCGTATTACCGATTATATTCGTAGTATGATTTCCCTTAATATGATCATAGTTCTTCTGACCATTAGAAACATTCTTCGTATAAGTATGGTTAGTCCTAATACTATTATTAATAGTGTTCGTATGGTTCGTCTCGTTCGTCTTATTATTCTTCTTATACATATTAGCACGACTATTGATCATATCTTTCTTATTGTTGAAGGTTCTCCTCCTCCTCCACATCCTCGAGCCATCCTTGGTCCATCTTCCTCCTCCTCCTGCTCGAGCCCCCCCCCCTCGCCTCGAGGGGAATAGGGGAATGGTGGGGGGGGAGGGGCAGGGGGGCACCCGCCAAGCCCCCCGCGTCTTGGCTGGGCGGCTTTCGGGGGAAACCCCTCGAGCGCTGCCGGGCGCGCTGTGCTTGTGCCGGTAGAGCTTCAGGGCGTACGGCCGGGCCCGCACGGCCGCCCTGCGCCTAGGGAGAAGATGGGGCGCAAAGCCGCCGAAAACACTTCTCGAAATTGGGATGGGGCGAAGG